CGAAAACAGACTCGGACTCGGACCCTGACGGTCTGACCGCCCACATACCTGCGGTCTAACCGGCCCTGTGAAGGAAACCCGACACTTTCCAAACTTTGGCAATTTTTCCCTATTTCGTCCATAGGTGCAAAATTTGGGTGTAAACAGGGGCACCTAAGAAGATCGTGTTTGATCGAGGAAGCCAATTCACTTCAAAGTTCTGGCAGAAATTGCAAGAGGAATTAGGAACCCGTCTGAACTTCAGCATTGCTTACCATCCACAAACTGATGGCCATACCGAGCGAATTAATCAAATATTGGAGGATATGTTGAGAGCCTGTGCGCTTGATTTTGCTGGAGCATGGGACAAAAACTTGTCGTATGCTGAGTTCTCTTACAACAACAGTTACCAGGCTAGTCTGCAAATGGCACCGTTTGAAGCACTGTATGGACGGAGGTGTCGTACTCCGCTCTTCTGGGATCAGACAGGGGAACGCTAGTTGTTTGTTACAGAAGTTTTAAATGAGGCAGAAGAAAAAGTCAGAGCTGTCAGGGAAAAATTGAGAATCGCGCAATCTCGACAAAAAAGCTATGCAGACAACCGCCGAAGGGAGCTCGCTTTCGAAGCAGGGGACTATGTGTACCTTCGTGTCACTCCACTCAGGGGAGTACACCGCTTCCAAAACCCAAAGGAAAGTTGGCACCACGCTTTGTGGGACCATACCGGATCTTGGAACCATGGTTACCCTTATGATAGGAACATTATTGAGGGCACACATTATTGATAGGAACATTATCTTGGACCAAACCATGGTTACCCTTATGATAGGAACATTATTGAGGGCACACAGTGTCCTTTACACGTATGGGCCCTACTGGGCTCAAATGACTCGGCCCATTTGTTTGCCGAAATCCCCCGAAGGCGTAGCGGCCCGCTGGGCCTCTCAAAGGCGAGGTTTGGTTCTCTGGCGAAACCCATGTCTTGATGTCGAGGCCTTCGCCTCATCATCTTCGCCCGTGCCGCTCTCTGACGAGGCCTTCGCTTGGCGAAGTTGGCGTATCCCAAGCCACGGCTTTCGCCTTGTGGCCTTCGCCCATATGGTTTCTTCTTCAATCATTCGCCGCTTGCCTCCGGTCTGAGCCTATTGTCCGAGATTTTGGGTTTGGTAGGTCCGACCGAAGGCCCTTTGTGGTATGCCTCCAACAATCTCTTTAAGATCGACGTTGGGGAGAGCGAGCTTCACACAAGCGAGGACATGACAAAGCCCCGTGTGGATCCCGTTGGAGATCTCCTCCGAGACCTTGGCAGCATGCTTCGACGGGACGACTTTCATCCCGTCCGACGACATCGCACGGGCCGTCAGGTGGTCCATCTAAGCCCCGACCTCCCGAGAAGTGTTCTGAAAGAGGCAGTGGCACCCGGCCATCATGTCGGACCAGTCCTGTGGCCCTGACGGCGGCACCATAGTCGTAGTCGCAACAGCGGGCCCGGCGGACTTGGCGGCAGCAGGCGCATACTTCGCGTGAGGAGAGGCGACAACGACAGTCCCACTAATTGCCACCTCATCGCCGCTCTGGGCAGAGATCGCCGAGCCTTTCCTACCGACATTAGAAAACGTCGTCAATAGACTCATAGGCGTGACAACAGAAGGGGTCAAAAAACTCTACTTACTTAGGGATGGCAATTTGCCTTGCGGGGTCGGGTCCCCAGCGGGGACCGACCCTACGGCGGCGGGGGCGGGATCATTTTTTGACCCGTGGGGGAAGCGGGGGCGGGGCCCTGCATTTTTGCAGGGAGGGGACCGGGGAGACATTTCACCCGCGGGTGACCCGCGGGGCCCAGAGGGTGTATATTAAACATCAAAATGTAGCCGATAAATGGCCCAAAAGAGTCCAACCCAAAAAAATTTTGAGACAAAAATAAAACCCTAGCATTATCCTCTCCACTCTCCTCATCTCCCCTCCCGTCACTCTGTCACACAAGCGGAGGCGGTGGCGCCGCCAGGGGCATGGGGCGCACGGCTCACGGGCGGCGCACTTCTCTGCTTGCCGTCGTCGGTCGACCCATGGACCTCACCCTTCCCCTCCTCTCCCCTCCCCTCTAGCATCTCGAGTCGCACAGGCAGCGTGCTGCGCGTGGTCGAGTAGGCAAGGGCGGCGCCGTCAATGGCTAGGGCGCGGGCGGTGGCGTCGACGGCCATGGCGCGGGCGGCGGCACTGGCCAGGCCGCAGGCGGTGGCATCAACGGCAGGCACGAGCGGCGACGGCGGTAGCAGACATCTGCAGGCGGCGGCGGCTCGCCTCGTTGCCATCTAGCTCGCCGTCCTCGTCGCCGTCGTCCAGCTCGCCATCCACTGGCCCAGCCGAGTAGTGCGGGGCCCCGCTCACCCGCCGGGTCCCTTGCGGGGACGGGGGCGGGTGATGTTTTCCACCCGATCACCTCTGCGGGGCCGGGGCCAGGTGGAGAGTTCGGGGGTCGGGGCCGGGGCCGTTCCAGCCCAACCGGCCCCCGACCCGCCCCGTTGCCAACCCTATACTTACTTGCCGGCAATCTTCTTCACAGATCTCCGCTTCGGACGAGGGAGGCCGCTGGTATCCTGATCAAGATAGTGAAAAGCTCCCCCACTCGGTCATCTCAAAGAAAAGGGGGGAACTGGAAAAATAGGGATGCTAGGTCTTATCTCGGAACAACTGGACTTCTGTTGAGATCCGGCAGCGCCGCTTGTCCTAGCCTAGGTTTTCCTCTTAGTTCCGCTGCCCCACGCGACGGAAGGGGCAGAGGAAAGGACGGCAACCTCTTTTGCGACTTTCTCCTTGAGAGGCGGAAGCCTGGTGATCGACAAGAGGGCTGATGACGTCCGTCCGCGGTAGAACCTGCATAGCTTGTGGTCATTTGGGTTCATCCTTGAGATGGAATACAAAAAATTGTTCGTCCTCACGCACGTTGATGGCGGCTGCCTTGTCGGCCGCTGTCCTGTCGCAGAGCGGGGTCGCCACTCCCTTTGGCATAGAGGCAGGGCTGATCAGGACATCCTTGACCCGCTGCGTCACGACGTCCGCGCGGAGAACTGGAACACAAGGAAAAGGCGAAGAAGAATCAGGCATAGAGCTTAAAAATGTTGTCATCGGGAATAGGAGGGATGACGACGCAAGAACGAGTACCCCGCGACGATACCTGCATCACGTCAGAAGCCCCCTCATAATCGAACGCGGGATGAGTGCGGGCTTGCAGCGGCTGGATGCATCGAGCGACGAAGTCTTGGATGACTTCGTACCCGATCAGCCCCTGTTCTCACAACCCTTCGATAACGTTCGCGAAGGCTTCAAGAGAAGGAGTCAAAGGAGGTCTGGAAGTCTAGCAGTCTTGTCGGACAGGCTGGTTCTCTGGCACGACAAGAACCGGATCGAGTTCTTCTAGCTCGAGGAAAAACCACTTGGACAGCCACTTGGTCCGAGATGTATGGCACTGGAGAGATATGTATCTCGCCTTCATGCCATCGCGTAGGCGAAACCCGTAACTTCCGATACCTTGCCGGCTTCCATCCACCGGAGTTCATAGAAAAAACGGAAGAGATCCAAGAAGGGCACTACCCCAATGTAGGCCTCGCACAAATGGGTAAAGATGCTCAGGAAAGCGATGGAGTTGGGGTTGAGGTGCAAAAGAGAAAGGCCATATAAGTTCAAGACCAGCAAAAGGAATTCCGACGGCGGCGTACAAAACCGCCGCGAACGAAATCTTCTACTACTACCATACGACCTAGGGCAGGGGAAGGAGCAGTACCTCCTTCTCTGGCCATGTCTTGCTGTGGAGGAAGGGCTCCATCAGTGGAGAGCTTCGCCAGCGTTGCCAGATCAGAGGTGGAAATACCAAGGTCTGCCATTGGAGGAAGATCGCTGGAGCAAGACGGAAAAATCTAGGGAATTTGGGGAGACGAAAGGTCCGAGACTGTTGGAAGGTTGGAGAACCTTTTGGCAAATGGACTTGAAATGGATCCCAAAATCCCTTTAAATAAGTGCACTACCTGACAGTTCGAATTTCGAGGAAGGAGAGAGATTGCCGCTGAAAAATCCCGAGGCCTGTTAAGGGCGGTTGTTCAGACTTCAATTCAAATTCATGATTAGGCAATCAGACTTCTGTTAGTATTGTCAATAACTCCTTGTCTTCTCGGTTCCATACTGAGAACGATCAGGTGAGTACGACAAGCCGCTGATGAGAGAAGTCACGAACTACAACATGAAATCATTTGAGTTGAAGTCGGGGGCTACTATCAGGGTTACAGATAAGGCATACTTCCTATCTTGCGACTTATGGAATATATCGATAAGGTATACCTTCACGTATACGGATTGTTCCAATGGATGTCGCGTGGAAACCGACTCAGGTTATGGAAAATATCTCTACGAGTTAAGTGATTTCCAAAGTCCTACTCGGAAGGGATAGAGTTTCTGTTATACCGTTCCAGGTCCGATATCCTCAAACCTTTCTTGAGGATCAAGATGATCCACGGTATAAAATGGACCCCCTGGGAGGGATTCGGGGCATCGAATTCCATCGCCAACACACCCACCAAAGTACGAAGCCGGAGTACACGGAGCCAACTCGCCGGGAGATCTCGTCGAATCCCTCGACTACGATCTCGTCGGTATCATCTGTTTCGACAACTCTCTTTGTAATCTGTTCTCATTATCATCAATCCCATATAAACTGGACTAGGGCTATTACCTGATAAGGGCCTGAACCAGTATAATCCTTTTCTTTTTTCTACTTGATATCGTACTACGTAGACCCTTGTTCCAACGTACCCCAATACTCTACACATCCGGTCCGCGAGTATCACTCGTCGACAATGATATCCCGTAATCTAGACACCACGCCTAAACTACTAGATACTACTCTAATATCATCGTCATGACATAGAGTACTTGCATAAGCAAACACTATACCCGTACCAAAGCATCTCCCAGATAAGCTAGCAGTATAATCAGTATAACATGAACATAATGTAAAGTTGACATTCATATACTCGGAAAGTATTCCAATACCATAAATGTAGAAAAAAGAGTATTCTAATAAAATTACAAAGCTTACAAAAGAGAAGAGAATAGCTACAGGAGCCATACCCGAACTCTTTCGAAGGCTTTCGGACTCCGATTTATACTCTATTCCTATTCCACTAGCTTGAGAACACTAAACTAACTTGAGAGAATATGAGAGAACTCTTGCTTGAGGTGTGTGAAGAGAGTGAGGAAGTGAAGTCCTTTTATAGCCTCCCAATGACGGTTATGGCAGTTGGAATGGTCGGAAATGCCCTCTAACCATCATTGGGGAGCAATCCTGGATGTCCACGCCAACCCTGCATCCAACGGAGCAGATGGGGGTTCGGCTGAATCCCCTGGTTCGGCCGAACCATGGGCTAGTTCAATTCAGCCCATTTTCAACTGGCGGCCTCCTGGACTTCTCCTCTCTGCAGACTTGTGAACTTTGGCCCAATTGGTCGCGTCATTTCTGAGTTCTTGGCCCATTCATACATAAGTCTGACCCTCGACATCGTCCGATTGATTTATCGTCTGGTTTGATGTCGATTTCTCTCCATTTTATGGTTATTCTCTACAAAAGGTTAGTGATCCAAATACTAGTGGAATATTATTATTCTAACATGGATATGCATTGCAAATATAACTAGTTCTCCTCTATTTTGGTAATATTGACGGTCGAAACTGATTGCTAACGATCATCAACAAAACCCCCCAAGCTTGAACCTTTGCTCGTCCCGAGTAAAGAACGAAAGGGAACAAAAACTTGGTTGTTGATCAGGACAAAAGGGAACAAAAACTTGGTTGTTGATCAGGAGTTGCTATTGTGCTGTATATCTCAAAGGTAAGGTGCAAGGTATATGTACTCTCTCTCAGATTAAATAATCTTTGGCACGGTGGCTTACCCTTACCCTTAATTCCCATGAGACACTGCTTCTCCTTGCCTTGGGCGGTTGAAAGACAGAATAACAATTAGAGCACTAATCACCCAGTCTTTATTCAACTTTTATTCCGAAAGTTTTCAAATGATTTTGCAAAAGAAATCCAAGTTCCTCATATGATTCACTCAGCCTCTCCAAGTGTATCAATATGAATTCCTCACCATTTTTGCCTTTTTGATTCCTACTCTAGGGTTTGATATGTGGAGCTTGGTAGCGATCAAACATGGTATACTTGCATTCACATTTACTACTAAGTCAAAAACTCGGACTAAAGTAGATGACTAAACATACTCAAGATCAAGAACGTGCAAAGTGGGTGTGATATATGGTGGAAATGGAATATGAAGAAAGATAAAGAAAATGCTTATCCTTTGTGCTTACTTCCTTCTGCCAAAAATCCTTTTTTTATTAATAATGAGAGGGCATGGCTAAATTTTCAATATCATGCTCATGCTTGTGAGAGCATAACTTTATTATTATATTTTTTTTCATAACTATGCCTTTCCCTCCTTTTTTTTTCTTGTTTTTTCTTTTCAAAAAGAACTTTTCTTTTTAGGAGAAGAAATCACATAAAAGCATGGATAATTTATTTTGGGGGTAGTATGAAAATGAAATGAATAATTGCTTCTAGTGTAGGAGTTTAGCATGTACATATATATGAGTGTATGATCTTGATCGCATAACATGAGAAGTACCTACACAAGTTACAAGAATTTGACAAAGTTCAATGTAATGGCAAGTAACCAAAATGTATACGGTTCAATCATGATGGCACATTTTTGGCTCTGGTAGGAATTTATATCAAATGAGGAACTTTCAAGTTTATCATTTTGAAAAGCAAAGCATCCAAAATTCAAGTTAAACTAGAACTAGAATCATAGCAACTTTTATTTACTATCTCATATGTCGCAACAACTTAGACTCAGATTAGCAAATGCAGCTCATTTACCTCAGCTTCCAAGATAATTGTTGGCTACTTATATTTAACCTTTAAGATATCACTTACCTATGAACCTATATATAAGAGAGATAAAACAGAGCAACTATTCATCATTTCAACAAAGAGAACTAGCTTGTCTTACCTAGCATGACAAAACCTATCTTATCTTTTTGGTATTTTCTATTTTGTAAATTTTTATGTTGTTTTTAGGTTTATAAAATACAATTGGAAAGCAAATATGCAATTGGAAAGGAAAAGATGTAATGTGATACAAGTTACCTTAGTAGGGGGAGAGATCTCTCCCCAAGCTTGGCTTTCACCCAAGGTCCTTGGTAACGATTAAACCCTTGAAAGCGGAAGTATGCTTGCAGGTCATCGTGTTGTTGCTGCATCATGTTGTTGATGTTGGTGAACTGAGCATCAACAATCTATTGCCATTCTTGCGTCTGTGCTATGTGTTCCGCGAGGTTATATTGGATCTCTCTCTTCTACAAATCAAGGGTATCCATTCTCCTGGTGATTTCACCCAAGTCCCATCGAGAGGAAGTAGAGCACCATTCACCTAGAGGTATATCAAGGGTATCCATTCTCTTGGTGATTTCACCCAAGCCTCAACGAGAGGAACTTGAGCGCCATTCACCAGGAGATGAAGACATACCACTTGATCAGGGGTTGACTGTCCCCCACTGTATGTCATGATGCCTCTAGGCCATATCACCAACAGTGACACCCGGGATGACGATAGATTCAATCCAGCCAAATTGTAAGCTGATGAACATTGAACAACTGCTCCCCAATCGCCCCACCAATCCAGCGGCGGTGACTTTCTTCTTTAGCTTTCTCCCCTCATTATTTATTACTAGAGGGTTGGGCGCGCCAATGGCGCGCCGCCTGGGGACCCTGGGCGAAGCAGCAAGGATGTGCACAGGCATAACCAACCATTTTAAAGAGGCAAAGGCAGTAAATACAGGACAGTATGTATAGCTAATGATCCCAAAAAGGTAATAAGCATCGAGGGAAGGATACCGGGACTCTACAGCTAAGGCAGTGAATAGTGCATACATAGGCATGGAGGTTAATCGGTGTCTGCATCAGTAGCTACATATGGAAGTGCCATAATAGAGTGATAAGTGCAGTGCCCACAGCGTGTCTATAGTGCACAGGGGTAACGATTATAACATGGGCAGTATATTACATAAACAGCAGACTGTATGGAGACACCGAGCTTTGCCGCTAACAAAAGAATGAGATCAGACTACATTGATAGCATATTCAGAAGATATCGACGGTTGCTCCTCGATGGGTAGTCTTAAAAATGGAAAATGCATACTGTGTGGAGCTTTATGCCATTGTTGAGGGCGAAATTTGTCCATCCGTTTTTTAGGTTGCAACGATGGTCTGTCATCTGTGAAGGATCATGCTGGTTGAAGGGCTCC